CCAGGAGTTGGAGGTTGCTGTGAGCTGTGATGCTACAGCACTCTACCGAGGGTGACAAAGTGAGACTCTGTCTCTAAAAAAAAAAAAAAAAAAAAAAAATTTGGTGGTGAACAAAACCAGACAAAGCCCTGCCCTCAGGGAGCTTAAGATTGCAGATTAGGGATGGCATATGCTGTTAATCTGCAAGATGACTTGAATAAAGTTATTCAAGTGGCAAATGCCACCAAGAAGAGCGCCGTGGTCACCTGTTACAAGCCAATCTGGTAGACTCTGGAGTGCTCAGGAGAACAGGTACATGTATCGTGGGGGTATGGATTCATTCAGCCAGTCTTTTTCAGGCTCTGCTGTGTGCTAGGCCTTGTGCTACATGCAGGGGACACAGTGGCACCACTCAGCTATGGTCCCCACTGTCAGAGTTGACATTTCAAGGTACATGGCAGTCTAGATGGGGGTTATCCTCAGGTATCACAGTGAACCCAAGGACAAAGCAGGCACTAACAGTGACCTTTCTCTGCCCACAGCTGGAGAAGGAAGAGCAGATACACAGTGTGGATATTGGAAATGATGGCTCAGCTTTCGTGGAGGTGCTGGTGGGCAGCTCAGCTGGGGGTGCTGGAGAGCAAGACTATGAGGTAAGCAGGTCAGTGACACAGGACTCCTGCCCACCTCTGGCCCACATCCCCCCATGAATGTTTCCCTCGGGGCCTCTGAGGGGGCCACATGGGGCACAGGGACACCTGATTGCTACCCTCCGGAGCTCTGGAGGATCTCTTAGTATACAGAGGGGACAAAGGGCAAATGCAAGGTAGTAGTCTTCCTACATCAGGGAGGAGACTGAGTTTGCCTCCCAGCTTAAAACAACACAAATTTGGGCTGGTGCCTTGGCTGTAACCCTGTCACCTTGGGAGACCAAGAAGGGTGGATTGCTTGAGCTCAAGGGTTCAAGACCAAGAGCAAGAGCAAGATCCCCATCTCTACTAAAAATACAAAAACTACCTGGGTGTGGTGGTGGACTCCTGCAGTCCCAGCTACTTAGAAGGCTGAGGTAAGAGGATGGCTTGAGCCCAAGAGTTAGAGGTTGCTGGGAGTGATGATGATGTCAAAGCACTCTGTCCAGGGTGACAGAGTGAGACTCTGTCTCAAAATTTTTTTCTTTAGAAGTTGGATTTTGTTAAGTTGCCCAGGCTGGTCTTGAACTCTTGGCCTCAAGCAATCCTCTTGCTTTAGTTTCCCAAGTTGCTGGGATTACTGGCATGAGCCACTACATCCAGTGCTATAGGTAATCTTTATGTCTTTATAGTAAAAGTATATATTGAAACTAAGTTTTGTTGGGTTCCCAATGTTAGTCTTTTTCAAGATTCTCTTGGCTATTCTATCTTTTTTTTGAGACAGAGTCTCACTCTTGTCCTGGATAGAGTGCTATGATGTCAGCCTAGCTCACAACAACCTCGCACTCCTAGGCTCAAGCAATCCTCTTGCCCTAGCCTCTCAAGTAACTGGGACTACAGGTGCTGGCCACCACACCCAGCTAGTGCTTCTGTTTTTAGTAGAGACAGGGTCTCTCTCATTTTTGCTCAGGCTGGTCTTGAACTCCTGAGCTCAGGCGATTTACCTGCTTCAGCATCCCAGAGTGCTAGGATTACAGGTGTGAGCCGCCATGCCCAACTCTCTTGGCTGTTCTAGATCCTTTACATACTAGTTTGTCAATGACTTTGTCTGTTTTATTTCAGACCTACACAAAATTTGTAGTAGTATAAAACTCTTCACTCAGATTTCCCAAAGTTAACAAATTTGTACATATTTTTTTTTGAGCTGAAAGGAAGTTGTACACACGATACCCTTTATCCCTGCATACTCCAGTGGATGTTTCCTAAAACCAAAAAAAATTCTCTTACTTTTAATACAGTTACCAAAATTACAAAATTAACACTGATATAATACTATATCATCTGGCCTCAGACCTTATTCAGATCTCTGTCCTTGTCCCAATAATGTTCTTTATGGCAAAAGAAAATTCAGCATCATGTATTGCTTTGACTAGTCATACCTCCTTGGTTTCCTTTGCAACAGTTTCTGTGACTTTCTTTGTGTTTTGTGCCACTGACATTTTTAAAGAGCAAAGGTCAGTGACTTTTGTCAAATATCACTTATTGTACAAAATGTCTCATGTTTCCTGTGGTTAAACATAGGTTATACATGTTTGACCGGGATTCCACAGAAGTGATGTGTCCTTTTCAGTACCACATACAGTTGATTTTTGTACGTTGACTTTGTATCTTGTGACCTTGCTGAATGTACTTGCTTTTGATGTGTTGTGACCTTGTTAAATTCACTTATTAATCCTTGTGGTTTGTATAGATTCCTTGGGATTCTCTACATAGACAATTGTGTCTGTGAATAGAGGCAATTTTCCTTTTTCTCTTTTTCTCACCTTGTCACACTGACTACCTCCAGTACAATATTGAATAGAAGTGAAAGTGGAAATCCTTGCTTTGTACTTGTACTTAGGGGAAAGTTTTGACATCTTTCACCATTAAATATGGTGTTAGCTAACTGTAGGCTATTTTTTTTTTTATAGATACCTTTTGTTAGGTTGAAGAAGTTCTTCAGTTTGTTGAGAGCTTTTTTCATGAATGTTTATAGACTTTTTTTTTTTTTTTTGAGACAATCTTCACTATATCACCCTTGGTAGAATGCCATGACATCACAGCTCACAGCAACCTCAGACTCTTGGGCTTAAGCCATTCTCTTGCCTCAGCCTCCCAAATAGCTGGGACTACAGGTGCCCATCACAACGCCTAGCTATTTTTTGGTTGCCGTTGTTGTTGTTTGGCAGCCCGGGCTAGATTCGAACCCACCACCTCTGGTGTATGTGGCAGGGGCCCTTAACTACTAAGCTACTGGCACCAAGCCGAATGTGGACTTCTGATATCCAAGTTCAGGAGAAAGGCATCCTTCTCAAGAGAAGAGAGAAAATTCACCCTTCTTTTGCCTGTTCATTATATCCAGGGTACCCGCTCATATTGAGGGCCGATCTTTCCTACTCAGTCCACAGACTCACACATCAGTCTCCTCTGGAAACACTCTCACAGACACACTAGAAACAATATTTCACCAGCTATCCAGACAGCCCTCAATCCCATCAAGTTAACACCTAAAATTAACCTATGCTGGATCAAGATTTGTCTCTTCAAGGTCTGAAAACACCTATGCCAACAGTCCAAATTTCTGGCCTCAATCGCCCCTCCCACCTTGGCTTTCCAAAGTCCTGGGATTACAGTGTGAGCCACTATCCCTGGCCTAGGTTGGAGTTATTGAAATATAGATGTTATATATCATCAGTATTCAGACACCTTTTGGAAACGCACAAATGAGTCAGCGGAAAGGTAAAAGGAATTACTGGAGGCCAGAACCGAGAGAACAGAGTCCAAAGATGCGAGGGAGCTGCACTAGTTGCTGACTTTGACTCAAACCCACCCTCTACACTCAGTTGGGAGTTTAAGAAGGTGAAACTCAAACCCTGAGGGAGTACTGCTCTCGATCCAAGAGAAGGGTTGGATGAGGCTGGTGCTGTAATTGTTGGGACCTGCAAATTGGATTCATTTGCTGTTGAAGAAGGAACCAGTGCACAAGCAGAAGTGTCCTTCTACTCATGCAGCTCTGCAGCTTCTCTCTAGCTCCCCCTCTTGGTGGAGCTGAAAAGGAGCAGCTGACAAAGCAGAAATGCAGGTTGCCGCATTCCCTGTAGAGCACAGAGCTGAGTGTAGAGGGTGGGTTTGAGTGGAAAGTCAGCAACTAGTGCAGCTCCCTTGCATCTTTGGATTCTGTTCTCTTGATTCTGGTCTCCAATAATTCCTTTTACCTTTCTGCTGACTCACCTTGGGTTTCCAAAAAGTGTTTGAGTATTGTGCCAGTCACTGAGTAGTCTGCTGGGAAAGTTCTTTAGGTAGTGCAGCCCCTTGTATTGTCAAATATGGAAGACTCATGGAAGAATTTGAGAAGGATTGTTCAGTTCTGGAGGTTGGAAAGGTCCTTTTAGGGCCTGTGTTAGGGCAGGCCTGACTGGAAGCCCAATACAAGGGAAGGGGCTACAGATGTCCAGGATAGAGCTGGATTCTAGTGATTCCCTACTTGGGCCCTCTGCCTACCTCCCCAACACCTAGGAAGCATTCTCTAAAACAGCTTTCCCTGGTTCTCATTCACCATGCCGTCTCCTACACAGGTCCTTCTGGTCACCTCATCTTTCATGTCCCCTTCTGAGAGCCGCAGTGGCTCCAACCCCAACCGTGTCCGTATGTTTGGTCCTGACAAGTTGGTTCGGGCAGCAGCTGAGAAGCGCTGGGACCGTGTCAAAATTGTTTGCAGTCAGCCCTACAGCAAGGTACGTAGGGGGAAGCTGGAGTATGGAGGCCTTGGTCCTGGGCAAGGAGGGAGCTGAGGTGCCAATACTGGGTCCCAGAGGGCTGGAAGGAGTAGACAGCTGGGATTCTATGGAAGATTATGTGGAAGCTGGGTCCCTGTGTTCCCTGTAATGGGTTTGGGATCCACCTTAAAATCAGAAGCTTTATTTCCTGCAAGGAATCTAGGAAGGGTGAATGGTAGCATGTCAGAGGGATTTAGAGGAGGGGACAGTCGACTTGTCAGAGAAGTGGTCTAATAGAGTGGGCCTGATAGTTAACATCAGGAGATCTAGTCTGACCACTGAGTTGAAATTCTGGTTATACCACTTCTAGCTGTGCTATCGTAGTTAAGTGACCTACCCTCTCTGGGCCTCTGTTTCCTGATCCTTTTTGGGATGCTGTAGGTAACCCAATGTTGTGGTAACAGTGAAACATGAATATTCATTGTCACACACAAGAGATATACTTCTTACCAAGGTAACTGTCCTGAGGGTTATTTAACCTGTCAGTTTCATGAGGTCATCCAGGGACCCCAGCTTCTCCCATTTTCTGGCTCTGCATTCAGCCAGCAGTCAGGGGGAAAGAGCCTGGAACATTACTTTGTTCTAGAAGTGGCACACAGCTCTCTCTCCCTGTCCACAGGCAGGAATTTGGGCAAGGGGGAGTAAATTGGCTTGGACACCCAGCATACTTGGCCAGTTGCAGTGAGGACTAAAGCAGCTACTGCATGTAATGGCTTAAAGCTGAGCCTGACTCAGAGTTAGGGCTCAGTAGTGACAGCTTAATAGTATAGTTGTCATTATCAGGGCACCTCCTTAACCATGGGTGTCCATGAGAAAGGGAAAGAGCCAGAAAGGCATTTCCCTAAGTGAAAGGATTTAGGGGCCCTAACTCCCACCCCTCCTTTTCCAGGACTCGCCCTATGGCCTGAGTTTTGTACGGTTTCACAGCCCCCCAGACAAAGATGAGGCAGAGACCCCATCCCAGGTAAGATCTACCTGCCACCCCCCAGAGCCTTTTCCCTGTCCCTTCACCCCCACCTGCCAGTGGCCCACCCATGGGCACTGACCTTGTGGGACCTTAGAAAGTGACAGTGACCAAGCTTGGCCAATTCCGTGTAAAGGAAGAGGACGAGAGCACCAACTCCCTAAGACCAGGGTCTCTCTTCTTCAGCCGGATCAACAAGACATCTCCAGGTGACTGTGGAAAACCTGAGTCCTGAGTGAGTGGAGCATTGAGACCCAGACTCCTGGGTCTGAGGGGCTGGGGGCCTGGACTCCTGGATCACTGCTGGGTTTGGAGAATAACAGTCCTGTAGATAGGAGTGGAAGAGACTTAGGGGCCAGCCCTCTCATCCTGGGTTCATTTTCTCCCTTTGTAGCCACAGCCAGTGACCCAGCAGGACCTAGCTATGCAGCTGTGACACTCCAAGCATCTAGTGCCATCTCCTCAACCTCTCCAGTTTCCAGGGCTGTGAGCAGCACCTCTAAAGTGAGATTGTCACAGTTTGGTGGGTGGAGGAGGAGAGAAGCTGGAGGCCTCACCCTGTCCTATCCTCTCAGCCTCAGGAGTCTCCCAAAGGGAAGAGGAAGCTGGATTTGGGCCAAGAAGAAAGGAAGATCCCCAATAGACCGTCGGCCCCACTCTTACCACCTGCCATCAAGAGACCCAAATGTGAGCAAATGAGATCCCTTATTCCCATGGGGTCTATGCTCTTATGTCCTAAAGGAGGAGGGCTGGGGGCCTAGACTCCTGGGTCTAAAGGAGGAGAGGCTGGGGCCTAGACTGCCGGGGTCTGAGGGAGGAGGAGGCTAGCGGGTACTGAGTGTCTCCTCTTTGGCTTCCCCAGTGCCACTTCCCACCCGTACTCCAGCCACAGCCCCAGTCTCTGCCCCAGCACAGGGGACAATGCTAGGGAAACCCCAGGAAGAAGGCACCGAACCTAGAGGACACCGAGCTGGCTCGCAAGAGCTGGGGAAGATCCTTCAGGGTGTGGTGGTGGTGCTGAGTGGCTTCCAGAACCCCTTCCGTTCAGAGCTCCGGGACAAGGCTCTAGAGCTGGGGGCCAAGTATCGGCCAGACTGGACCCCGGACAGCACGCACCTCATGTAGGCCTGTGCCCTCCTCTCTATGCCTCCTGCTATTCTACCCCATCTCCTCTGTCTCTTCCATCTTGCTTTCTATCTGCATCCTTTATGTTGTGCTCTCTCTTTTCCTCTCTGTAGCCTTTACCTCTTTTTCTCTGATTTCTGCCTCTCTCCCTTACTCTTCCACCTCTTTTTCTGTTTCTCCCATATTGATCTCACTGTCTGTCTCTCACTCATCTCTTTCTCCCTCCCTCTCTGTCTTCCCTTCTCTTTCTTTCCCCATTGCCCCTGAGACCACAGCTAACAGACATTCCTTAATTCTGCCCCCCACCAGCTGTGCCTTTGCCAATACCCCCAAGTACAGCCAGGTCCTGGGCCTCGGAGGCCGCATTGTGCGTAAGGAGTGGGTCCTGGACTGTCACCGGATGCGGCGGCGGCTACCCTCCAGGAGGTGAGACCTCCCTGCGTGCACATGTGTGACGCATGCTCATGCTCACACCCTTCCCCAGCCTTTCCCCTCATCCTGTGCTGGGCAGTGCCAGGGATCTGTAGAGAAAGTGACTGGCGCCTGCCGGCAAGGAGCATGGAAGTTCCAGCCCAGAGTCAGCAAACTCTTGAGAAGAGGAGAGCAGAGGCTGGGGACACCAGCTAAGTGAAAGAGGACTTGGCTGGGAGGGTCATGGAGGGCTCTGTGAAGTCTGCTTTTTGGAGAAGGTAAAGGACATTACAGGCAGGAGGTCTTGGAGGGCTCTGTGAAGTCTGCTTTTTGGAGAAGGAAAAGGACATTACAGGCAGGAGGAACAGCAGATATGAAGGCCCAGGAGTGGGAGAATGAGTACTCAGGCCTGCTCACATTCATTCCAAGCAAGTCCTGGAAGCTTCCAGCACCTGATTGGGCTGTGCAGTGCTAGGGATCCAGATGTTGAGCCCTACCCTTGAAAGCCCTTCACTTTGATGAGGGAGTCAAATTTATAACAGTGGTAGAAGGCCCTGGGGGAGGCCCACAGCATGCAAGAGGTCTTTAAGGATGAGAAGAGGTTTGCCAGGCTGAACAGAGCCTGAGAACATTCTGGGCAGAGGAGACAGGTGTCGCAGCCTGGTGTGTGCCTGGAGGAGTTGCAGGTAGGGCTGAGCTTATAGGGGGAGGCAAGAAATGACAGGAAAATGAGGCTGGGGCAGTAGGAACTGTAGGGGGGCTTTTGAGCCAGATCAGCACAGGATCAGATCTGAGGCCCATGGGTGGGAGGGGAGATTTGAGTTGCCTTCTGTGGCCTGTGTGTGCTCAGAATTCATACTCAGATTCACTTGGCATGTTTGAGAAATGATCTGCGGTGGGGAGAAAGTGAGGCTGAAAGATGTGTGGGGCCAACTCAGTAAGAGCTGCTGATGCCTGGCCAACATGCTAGACTGTTCTACTCCATAGTTTGAGAATCCATCTATTGTTTGAGAATCCAAACATCTCTGGAAGCTGAAAGTTCTCTAGGTAGCACAAACATGGCTGCATTGTCATCTTGAACAAATGTGAGGCTATTTATTGGCTTTGTTTATCTCTTTAAGTGTGTCATGGTATCTAACACTGAAATACTAATGGTTTGATTACTGGGTATTACCCTAGACTGCACTGGAGGTGTCATGTAACACCATGTGCTCCCCACTTGCTTCTCAGAAATCTGAAAAATTCAAAATTCTGACACCCATCTAGCTCCAAGGGCCTCTTGTTTGAGCAGGAGGAGAGCCACAGAGGTTGTGGGGATAGGGGCAATGACTGTTGGGAGGGATGGAATATCAAGGGGAGTCTGAAGGTGGGGATCCCAGAGCAGTCTGGGGTCTCACGGGTGGAAAGAAGGGATGGATTGGTGGTATAGTCATGGGAGAAGGAACTAGATTTTTGTATTGTTGTTTGAAACAGAATTTCACTCTGTGCCCTGGGTAAAGTGCTGTGGTGTCCTAGCTCACAGCTATCTCAAACTCTTGGGCTCAAGCAGTCCCCTTGCCTTAGCCTCCCGAGGTGACTACAGGTGCCTGCCACCCTGCATGGCTAGTTTTTCTATTTTTATTTATTTATTTATTTATTTATTTGAGACAGAGCCTCAAGCTGTCGCCCTGGGTAGAATGCCATGGATCAAAGCTCACAGCAACCTCCAACTCCTGGGCTTAAGCAATTCTTTTGCCTCAGCCTCTCAAGTAGCTGGGACCACAGGCACCTGCCACAACACCTGGCTATTTTGTGGTTGTAGTTGTCATTGTTGTTTGGCAGGGCCTGGCTGGATTTGAACCTGCCAGCTCTGGTGTATGTGGCTGATGCCTTAGCTGCTTGAGCTACAGGCGCCAAGCCTAGTTTTTCTGTTTTTTATAGAAACAGGGCCTTGCTTTTGCTCAGATTGGTCTCAAACTCCCGACCTCAGGCAATCCACCCCCCTCAGCTTCCCAGTGTTGGGATTACAGGCATGAACTAGATTTGGTTTATTATCTCTGCCTGAGAGATCTCAAGGAGCCCATAGAAGAAAAGGGAACAAGACAAAAACATTTGGATTTGCAAATTCATTGTTTTTGCTGTGGCATCAGCCTAGCTCACGGCAACCTCAAACAATCCTTCGTCCTTAGCCTCCCAAGTAGCTGGGACTACAGGCATGCACCGCCACACCTGGGCAATTTTTAAGTTTTTTTCTTTTTTTAGAGATGGGGTCTCACTATGTTACTAGGCTAGCTAGTCTCAAACTCCTGACCTCAAGTGATCCTCCTGCCTCAGCCTCCCAAAATATTGGGATTACAGGTGTGAGCCACTGTGCTCAGTCTATTTTTGGCTGGGGCTGGGTTTGAACCCACCACCTCCGGTATATGGGGCTGGTGCCCTACTCCTTGAGCCACAGGTGCCGCCCTGTTTTTTATTTTTTCTTTAATTAATTACTTTTTTAATGCTCAAGGATCACAGCCCTTGACTCTTAATCAATTGCTACACTTTAAATCCTCTGAATTTCCTACGAGCTACCATTTCACAATGAGTGTGACTTACCTTAAATCTTTCATCAGTTTTGAAACAACCAAACCATGTGGAAGAGGGTCTTAATGCATTTGTCTCAGGAAAGTAAAACCAACACATTTATCTGCTCCTTCCATATACTTTGCCCTGTGGTTTGGAGCAAATAATCTCTGTGCCTTAGCTTCCTCACCTATAAAATGGGATTTAAAATAGTACCTACCTCAGGATTCATTGACTCATATTTGTTGTGTACTTGTAATAGTGCCTAGCTCTAGGAAGTCCCATGTGTTAGCTGCTGCTGATATGACTAGAGCTAGGAAAATTTCCCCAGAGTGTCAGTGGTTTAAAGAATCATGAATATAATGTAGGAGTCTTTAAAATGTATTTGCTTTTGAGAATTTTCCCTTAACTGGTAGGCATTCTCCTAATGAGAAACTACCTTCTCTTCTCAAAGGAGAGAGTTGTTTCTGATTTTTTCTTTCCTTTATGAAATGGGACATTTCTTCCCAAAGAGGGAGGGAAGAGACGGTATGCTTAGGTTTCTATGTGGGTGGCTGGGCTGGATGGGCTTCACTGGGGTCTTCCTGAACTGGGAGGTGGGCAGGCTGGAGGAGAGACCATGATTCCCATCCTGAGTGAGTAGTAAATGCTTGTGGCTGTCGCTTCCTGAACACTCCCCAGCTCCTCAGAGGACTCAGTATCCTGTTTATCTGAGGCCTGATTCTTCCCCTAGGTACCTCATGGCAGGGCTGGGCTCAAGCAGCGAGGATGAGGGGGGCTCTCACAGCAGCAGCAGCGGGGATGAAGCCCCCAAGTTTCCCCGAAAGGTCTGATGCCCGATCTGGGTAGGGGAGGGGATGGGGGATGACGGATCTGCTATGGTATCCCAAATTCTTTACTCCTGCCTCTTGCAGTCATCCCCTCACTCACCCACTGACTGTTCTCCTCACCAACTGACTTCCTCCTCAGCGCCCCCAGGCCAAAACCAAGCCTCCTCAGACAACTAGACCCAGGTCACCCCAGAAACCTCCGAGCCCCAAAGAGACCAAGGCAGCCTCACCCAGACCCCAGGAAGAGACTGACACTGAGGGGGAGCAGTCAGGTCAGAATCTGAGGGAGGGGTGGTGCCTGTGGCTCAGTGGGCAGGGCGCCAGCCTCATATACCAAGGGTGGCGGGTTCAAACTCGGCCCTGGCCAAACTGTAACAAAAAAATAGCCAGGCACTGTGGCTGGTGCCTATAGTCCCAACTACTCAGGAGGCTGAGGCAAGAGAATTGCGTAAGCCCAGGAGCAGGAGGTTGCTGTGAGCTGTGACACTACAGCACTCTACCGAGGGCAATAAAGTGAGACTCTGTCTCTACAAAAAAAAAGAATCTGAGGAGGTGGGCTAGGGGCCTGGACTCCTGGGTCTGAGGGAGGAGTGACTGGGAACCTGGACCTCTGGGTCTTAGGGAGGAAGGGCTGGGGGACCTGGACCCCTGGGTCTGAGGGAAGAAGGGCTGAGGGGACCTGGACTCCTGGGTCTGAGGGACCTGGACTCCCATGGCTAAAGGGGGAAGGGGCTCAAAGCCTGGGCATCTGGGTCTGATGGAGGTAGTGACTGGATCCAGACAAGTAGAGCAGAAGAAAGTGGTGGCTGGGGTCTGGATACCTGGATCTGGAGGACATCTGAGGTTGGCTGTTGGGATGCTGGCTCTATGCACAGGTGCCATACTGGGAGGTAGGGTTGTGCCCTGTGTTGACGGAGCTTCTTCTTGTAGAAGGACAGAACAATGGAGCAGAAGATTCTGAGGACACTGAGGATGAGCTGAGGAGGTAGAGTTGGGGCTGAGTTAGGGTGGCTCAGCCTTGGGTGCAGGGGGAGCCACTCACCCCTCCCGGATTCCCCAGGGTAGCCGAACGGAGGGAACAGAGGCAGCCCCCTGGCGAAGCAGAGAACGGTGAGGACCCGTATGCAGGCTCCACAGATGAGAACACAGATAATGAGGATCACCCCTCATCTCCTGACTTGCCAGTTCCTGAGCTCCCAGGTTAGAAATCCTTCCATCCCTGCTGAACTGGGATTTTGCCCTATTTGTGACTTGCCCCAGGGGGTCACT